ATACGCCTGAGAGATCTTAGGCAGCTTCTAAATCATCAAGCACGCCATTGTACACAGACCTTAGGTAACGTATACAAGAATGCTATAGAGGCAATAAGTACTATGAAATTCTTTCCAGGATCTATGATCGGCTTGAGGTTACACTTACATTAGGACCAGGTATTCACCGAGTAAATTTAAACAAACTGTAGTTTTAAAGAATCCTAATTTTCATAAATAGAGTGGAATAAATATGCATCTGTATCCAGTGGGAGATGGCACGTATCTCGTGGAATTAGTCAAGGTAACAAAGCTGGTCCGGACATGCTGAACCCAACTAATGTTGAGGATTAACATAAACGTATGAGATAAAATTTCGAGAAAGTATAACGATCTAAAAGATACCTTCATTGCTACTAGACTCAGATTTCTCCTCGAGACCAAGTGCTGTGTCGAAATTCTTTTCGATGTTTTTGACACTCTCACTGAGCTTATTCACGGCACCGGCAAGATCCAAGTTCGCCAAATCAAGTTTTCCACCAAACCACGCCATCTTTTTGACTCGATCCAAAGCTCAAATCACATGGCAAGCTCCTTCATCCTATCAAGTGAATCATACATTGTCAAAATCCTAGGAATTTCAATTTCAATAAACAACATCCATATAACATCAATTTGTTCCAAAAAAAAAAATGTTTCTGTGTCAATCAGATCCCATCATTCAATAATTGCCGATTCAGAAAGTTACAAAAAATTATTGAAAATTGGATTGATTGAAGTTTGGAAATACCACACCTTGGAAGCGGAGCAATAAAAAGAAAAGATTTGGGAAGGGCGAAAAAGAAATCGATCTGCAGGAACGGTGAACTTCAGCGTCCACCGTCACCGTCTTTCTTCTTTCCTTTTTTCCGTTTTTTCGTAAACGTTAACGGCGTATAAATTAGAACTCTTGACTTGCGATATCTCTTCACCGTTAAATAATGTACGTAACTTTTTGTATTCGTACATGGTTATTTTTTGTAATGATTAATCAACTATTACTAGATTAGACCATAAAAATAGTTTTTCTTTTAAAAAAAATTAAATATATATTGAATTGACTTTTTTATTAATTTAAGAAGATGATTTTTTACGCTTCAACTTTTTAAATTGATTTATCCAAACATAACTTCAATTCTCAAATATTATTTTATAACTTCAAAATTCCTTCTTTTTTTAAAAATTTCAATCAAATTTACATCCAAATGTGTACTAAATCTTGCTTTGATAAAAAAAAAACAATCAACGCAAGATCTAGTTTTAGTATAGCAATAATAAATAGACATTATTTCTAAGTTCAAACGAAATTGTATCGTGTATATGCATCATTTGTGCTCACTTTATTTATGCTTATTAAGAAATGAAAAATATATTGTCGTATACAATTGTTATTACTTAAAATAATACTTCATTAAGAGCTTCATACATATTTGTGTTGTGTTACACGTATTACCCATCCATTTGAGTGAACCAACTTCCATTTTTAAATCATCGTTTATTTTACCATCCTTGTTTATGATTGATATAAATTCACATGTAGAAAAAGAAAATATTACAAATTGCATGTGAACATACATCAATCCTAAAATATAGAATATCCAACACCTAAATGAAATTTTGAATTCCTACTTTTAACTACTACTTTTTGCATCTTGTCTTGAGGGTATCAATAACTCAATATCATTGCACGAAAATATGATGCGCTCACTTTATTTATGTTAATTAAGAATGAAAAATACATTGTCATATACAATTGTTATTGGAAAAATTATTTGGATGGATACCTTTTAATAAATAATTATTGATTTTAGCGATACTTTTTATTTATTACCGTTTATAGCAATATTATGTTAAATCTGCAATATGTATTAAAAGTGAATTATGTATGCAATATTTATGTATTATAACTGTTTTTTTAAAATATATTATGCTTGTTTGGTAAGAAATTGACACATTGTATTATAAGTGTATTAAAATGTGTGATAAATGTATTATACATCAATAAAACTTGTATTATATGTGAATAATAAATTGTTCTTTGTAATGTATTAAAACTGTATTATAAATTCATTAAAAGTGATCAAGTGAAAAAAATGATATTACTATAAATGGTAAATATTTTTTTATTATAGTATATTTAAGTAAGTTTCCCATTGTTATTATTTAAAATAATACTTGATTAAGAGCTTCATATATATGTGTGTTGCGTTACAAGTATTACCCACCCATTTGAGTGAAACAATTTCCATTTGCCAACCCACCGTTTATATTACCATCCTTGTTTATGATTGATATAAATCCACATGCATCACCAATCCTCAAATATAGGATATCCAACACCTAAATGTATTTTTGATGTACTTTCAATTTTTAACTACTACTTTTTGCAACTTGTCTTGAGGGTACCAATAACTCAATGTCACTGCACGAAAATATGATGCGCTCACTTTATTTATGTTAATTAAGAATGAAAAATACATTGTCATATACAATTTTTATTACTTAAAATAATACTTGGTTAAGAACTTCATACATATTTGTGTTGCGTTATAAGTATTACCCCGGAAAAGAAAATATTGCAAGTTGCATGTGAAAATACATCAATCCTAGAATATAGGATATCCAACACCTAAATGTAATTTTGAAGTACTTTTGATTTTTAACTGCTACATTTTGCAACTTGTCTTGAGGGTACCCAATAACTCAATGTTACTACACGAAAATATGTAACACTGACACCTATATTTATATAATATTAAAAAATCAAATTAAACTAGAACTGAAAAAACATATTTCAATATGAACTAGGATAAACAAAATCTAACTAGACAGGAATTAAATAAATACCAAATATCAAATCATAAACAAATTAGGATTCCACTTTTGGTTTATATACGTGAACTCAAACTTGTTAAAGAGTTTTTGTTGGATCAGAATGACTATGGCAGACAGTACAAAACCAAAGGAAATTGAGAGAGGGGTGATGTAATTACGACCCGAAACCGTCGTTATTTAGGAAAAGAAAAATCCGGGAAAAATCTGGGTCTTTGTCCCGCCATAGCGGGCCAGATGCCGCTAGGGTGGCGGCACCAGAGCGGGGTAAGCTGGCGCCAGAGCAGGATAGGCGAGGCAGAACGTAAATTGCAAGAAATCTTATTTTCTCCATCTTTCTAAAATACCTAAATAAGTCGTAAAACACCCTATAAACCTCAGAAAAGTTGCTCTAAGCTTGGGAAGAAGGGAGAGAGAGATTTCTAGCATGAGGATGGTGATATCTTGTGGATTCTTGGCCAAAATCACCGTCACGAAGCCCGAAAAATAGGAATCGAAGTCAATAACTCTGTGCAGTTGCTTGGCGCCCAGGTAGGCTAGGTTTTATGAATTGAGTAGTTTACATATGTGCTTACTACGTAATATATGTAAATCAATGGTAGGATTTATGTGTAGACCTTCGTGCACCAAGTGAATTCCATGGGCAATTTCTAGAAATCAAGCAATTGGGTTTATGTCTTGAGAAGAGGAATTGATGACTTGTTAGGGATTCTAGAATTGCTATCTCGGATAGAATTGTTTCAAGAATAAGGATATGAAATCATAAATGGAACTAGAATTATGAATGTATACTAGATCATAAATTGGAGTGATTGAATTTAGGATTTATGATGAATTGTGATTAGATCCTAGAAAGAGGCTTTAGATGATGAACTAGGGCTAAGTATGGTCAAACTAATGCATATATGATAGAGATTGATGAGTAATTCTTAGGTGAAGGTTGGAATTCTATGATTGTGTGATGTATGTTTGTTTTTGCTTCATTATGATACATGTATGTTTATGAATGATGCATTGTTGATCACACTTGTTGTAAATGAGATGAACGAATTATGATTTTCATGAATTCATAAATTAAATGTATGATCTTTAGGATGTACTTGTGGTTGTGATTGTGGTGTGTTGAATGGAATGGTTGTCGCGTTCCGGCATAACTAACTTGGATCGATTGTCACGTTCCGGCATAACTAACTTGGATCGGTTGTCACGTTCCGGCATAACTATGGGATCGGTTGCCACATTCCGGCATAATTAACTTGGATTGGTTGCCATTCCGACACACTAACTGTTTGGGTTTGGATTCCATGAGAGGACCAATGATGTGGTATAATTGTGTGAACTGAGAAACGTGAGGTTGTTTGTAACTGTTGTTGATGTTGTATATGCTCGATATGCGCTTGTGAGTATATGGTTGTATTGACTTGTATATGTTGCACTTACTGGGTATATGTTGTGACGAGGAAGTAAGGATATGAAGTGAACGGTTAGTTGGAATGTATGTAATCGTATTTGGGAATGTTTTTCTACGTGTTAGAATCGTTAGGCTATGATCAAGTACCTAGTAAGTAGGTTGATTGGAAGGTGGTTAATAGTTAGAGTGCTAGTGTAATTTGGAGGTATTTTAAGAGAGGGTAAAGGTGAAGAAGCGAGTGGTTTAATTCATGATCTTACTAGTTGGTTTCTTATATTATGCGGTGGAAGTCGAGTTGACCGATGATGCCTACCAGTACGTGTATTTGTACTGATACTACTCTTGTTATGTCTTTTGACATAGTCTGCATATAGGTTGGTGATGTTTCATTAGGTGAAGACGAAAAAATTCTCCAACAGCTTATATTCTTCCTTCCACATGGTGGGAGCTGTGTCTTTTATTTATCTTGTCCAGTTGTACTCTTAGTAGCTCTTGTACCTGTTTAGACTAGATCCTTGGGAGTTGTTAAATTACTTTACAAGTTTTAACCAAAAGTGTGTCTAAGGATATTATTTTTTTAAAATCATATTATTATATTTATCTCTATTTTCTTTAAATTTTCCGCATGTTTAACTATTGGGATATGAGGGTTCTCCTACTTAGGTGTTAAGAGTGGGTGGCCCGGTGGGTTGGGTCGTGACAGGTGGTGAAAGCACTCTACTTCCAGTTGGCAAAAGGCATATTAACAAATTATAGATGTAAGAAGTGGTATATGAGGAAAAAAAAATGTTGCTCATTTCTGAAGATATCATTTCATCTGTAAAATGATTCAGCATTTTGGTAATGCTTGGATACAGAAGTACAACATGAATTGTATCATCCTATTATTTTCAGATTACTGCCCCAAGATATCTGATATTGATTTATTGATCCCTTGAAACAATTCTTGCCTGTCATTGGAAAAATAAAGAACATGTCAGGTGGAGCGCAATGATATCAACTATGACTGAAGTGAAGCAGACAATTCAATGTGTATGGTTGGACCAACAATACAAACATTTGCATGAAGAATTTGTAGAAGCTTGAAAACAAAATGTGGACATACGAATAACGCAAGTTAGTGGTATTTTTCACTTTATTATATGTGCAAAACAGATATAACAGCTAACAGACACGAAGCAGAGGGCGGGAGGGGGTAAGATTGGAGACACTAGATAAGAGAAGGCAACCTTTGACAGAGTTTTTACCTGTTGGGCTTGAATAAGAGGTATCTGTATACGAACCACTGCAAAAGAGAAAGAACAGGAAATGCGTTAAGTCAATGATTGCCGAGGATATCAGAATAACAACATATTAAACTCACTATTTGACACCTGAAACAATAAAGGAGACAGAAATCTTTCTATTGTTCCTCAATAAATACAGGAGGAAATAAGTGTGCTTCAATACTTACAGAAGAAAACAATATCCCGATGAATTCAAATACACCTGGAATGAGAGGCAGGCTGTCGATTGCCTATTCAAAACTTAAAAAACATCAGTACATTCACAATTCTTAAAAAAAAGACAAAAATCTTTGAATCTCTCAACAGTATAATTTAAAGCAACACTACATCCTCGTCGCGGATACACTGGAAAGAATAACGGTCATTATGGGCCTACAAATGATGTAAGACTACTAGTATGAGGTCATATGTCGCACTAGTAGTATTTCCAGCAGGGGTTATTGGAGCTCAATATGTTCTTGGATAGGTATTGTTAATTGATATTGTCACAAAGATATTGTCAACCACCAAAGAGGCCATATTGTACACTTCTCAATGTGGTATGGACATATAATAACTCCAGCATCTATGTATAATAAAGCAACAAAAATTACCGCGACAAAATTCGAAGAAGCCCAGAAACCAACAATAGCAGCAATTCCCAACCCAATTACAGCAATCCGGTCTTCAGGGTTGTCCCACTGTTTCAACAATCAAACAAGATGCAATTCAACCAATCTAATCACAAAAAGTAAGGTCAGAAGATCTATGTTGCTTTACAGTGTCAATGTCCATGCTTTTTTTTTTCTAGGGGGAGGTGGGTGAAGGCCAAAGAGGAGCGTAGCATGGAATCTTTGCCCTTGTACAATCAACAGAAAATGCAACAATGCAAAAGTGCAAACAATGAACGAAACAGACTGAAGATTAATCGACAACTCCATTTGGTGTCTTTTGCCAAGAAAAATGAGCAGTGGGTTAATTCTGTTTCTCATATGAGTGTCACTACAATGAACTCTTGGAATGAAGATATGAGCGCCGAAAAGGGAAAGAAGGGGAACTCACAACATTCTTTACTGATTTAACTACACTTGGGGAGGATAAGGATTCAGATTCACTGGTAGCCTTTGCTGTTATGGCCAGGTGACCTTGTCTTTCTACAGAAACAGTAACAATTAGAAGATATCTGTAAAATATCAGTACTCCTTATTATATATGATGAAAGCATGAAAACAAACCAAGGAGGAGACGAGACATAAATTGAGCAGGAGAAATTTCATAACTGTCAAGATGATTTATTAGAATCCAGAATCTGAATATGACTTGGCAACTTCAATAAGCTTTCAAAGTCAATTTTACCTAGTTTAGCAGTATCAATTGTTCTGTAACCATATATCAAATGAACCTTCATGAATGTTCTATTTACGGGTTCATTCACCTCCATTCCATAGTAGCCAAAAGTCAATAACAAATTCAGGATAGCTTCTTGTCACAGGCTCAGTTACTTCTATCTATAGTAAATACGGAATAACAATATTGCTTTTGCTAGTAAATGATGTACGTTCATTGAGCATCTCTAACTCTTCTTGTTAAGTCTTCTCTATGGACTAAACACACTACACAAACGAGAAACATCCATACTAGTCTTTAAACTATCTAGTGAAATGTAGCAAAAACAACAGGTGATTTATTGCCAACTGTCATGGATAGAGTTATCTAGTAATTGTGTAAGTGGCAGGTATTCCGTGGATTTAATGGAGGCCCAGACACTACAGTTATTTTAAAAAAAAAGAACTAGTGAAAAGTAGCATCATCCATGTTACAATCCCGGGTTTTACTACTGATCAAATTTCACCTATCAAATTGCAACACAATAACTCAAAATTATACTTCAATAAGACTAATTGCAGAATGAAACTGTAATTGGGGATGTTGAAGAAGAAAACTTACTGGTGGGTACGAAAAGAGTAGATGTGTGAACAGTTCCGAAAAGGGTTTGTCTACCAGTGATGGCGGGCGGAGGAGGATGCAGCTTAGCTACTACTATTGAAGCCATCTGAGAATTTCAACTTTGTGTTTTGTCAAATGGAAACAACAATTAAGGAGAATCTACGAAGAAGTTGAAGCTATTCGAAGCAGATTGGGCAGTGAAGAACACGCAGCCACATACGCCACAACAATAATAAGAGCAAAAGCCGAATGTGGGAATCAGAAGGCCGGCTCTGCTTCACAAAAATTAATCCGTCAGAATTATACGGGTATGAGTAACTTAGGGGTTGTTTGGTTTGAATACAAGTTATATTGTAATAAGTTATGTTGGAATTAGTTTATATCGGGATTAGTTATTCTGTCATTATTTCTTATTGATTGTTTGGTTTGTTGTACTAAAAATAATAATCATTACATACTTTCTAAAAATAAGTGGTTTGATTACAAAAATACCCTTTTATTTAGTTTTTTGTATATATTTTTTTGGTAGAGTTTTAATTAAAATCAAATTTAACTACTCAATCCATCCAACATAGAAAATCCACCCGTAACCCATTTTAAAACTAAATCCAACCTATCCACCAGTAACTACTCAATCTTGATTGCTTAAAAATAAAGCACGAAGACAATTGCACCTTTTGAATATATGGAAGCCATATTTTTCCAATCAGGTTAAATGTCACACTCACTTTCAGCTTTGGAAAACAAAAGAGACACAAAAATAGATTTTCCATAGCCAAAATTCTTAAACCAGGAAGCATTGAAAGAAAGTTAACACAAGAACTATGTCTAAGACGCAGACGATTATAGACATTTATAATAAAAATAATTGAAACCAAAGAGCACAAAATCATATAAGTAAAATTTGCCATATGATCCAAAAGCTCGTCGAATCGAACCTAAAATAAGTTGCGCTTGTGAAAGATTATCAATTAAAGGATTTGTAGAGTAGTTTTGTCATTTAATAAATTTATCCACCATGTGATGGGATTATTATACCACCCTTTTGGAGGGATAACTTATCCTGGTTTATTAATCCTAGGATAAGTTATCCCAAATTTCTCAATCAAACACTAAATTAAGTGCCACTAAATATTTATTCCATAACTATATGTATTTATCCTTCACACCAAACGATCCCTTAAATTTATGTATATATTAATTACTAGTGAATTCATCCGCGCTTTGCGCGGTCATATAAAATAGATAATTTATTAAATATTATTATTATATGAAAGAGGTGTTTATAAATATGATAATATATTTATCTAATATTATATTTAATATATATAAATCTAAGTTGGGATTTTGTGAATATTTTTCAAGAATTTCTCCTTATATAAAAAAAAATATAAAATAAAATAATAATATCTTTCAATAAATGTGCACAGACATACAATTTGATTCCACAAAGAAAAAAGTAAGAAAATTACATGTGATGTATTTATTATTTTTTTAAAGTGAAAGAATACAATATTTATTCTTACAATGTATAAAAAAAATTAAAAATAAATCACATAAATATACTATTTGTCAAAGTAAAAAGAAAATTAAAGAATGGATAACGTTTTTGAGTTTGTTAATGACAATTATTATACTTTTAATATAAAATGAGTAATAATTACCATCAAATAAAGAATAATGATTTAGCCGTGAAAACTCCTACGCACTTATGTTTCAATTCTAAATAAATATAAATAATATTTGTTGTGCACATATAATTTCTTCAGAATTACCTCACTCTCCCTCCCTCCCGTTACTTTATATTTATCAATTTTCATGTCATGCCATAATTCTTGATAGTTCAAAGAACTTGAACATAATAAATATCAAATGAAAAATATATTTCAATCATTAAAATTTATTTTTACGCAATCAGTTATAAAATTTAAAACTTGATTAGTAGTTAGCAGACTTTAAAACATAATTAAGTTACTGATTTGAGCAAAAGGAAATTAATTATAAATTTAAACATGGTTAGTACTTATAGTCGAATTCCAATCATAATTGAGATAAATTCATAAGAAAGTAATATCTCTTCAGGATCTACTCCATTTTAAAATACTAATTTGAATCAAAAGAAATTATAGACTTACAACAATCATAAATCTATATAAATTAAACTTAAGAGGCATCATAGTAATACATAAGAAAGGAAAGAAAGAAAAAATAAAATACATATATCATTACAACTTTAATCATAAAAAATAGAAGGAAAATGAAATCAATACATAATTGTGAGCTCTTGTCTATTCACTTCACAAGACTATCACTATTCAAGAGTTTTCTTTTTGTTATTCAAGTCAAACAAAAGCATGAATATAATATAATAGTGAAAATAAATGATAACTTTGAATTGAATCTTAAGAAATTAAAATTTTAATTTATATAGAAAAAAAATGAAGGAATACCATAAGGTGTCTTAAGTTTTACATTAAATATTTAATGATTATGAATATGAAAAGTTGGAAATTATGAGAATTATAAATATTATTAATAGGGGAAATTAAGTAGATGAGTTATGAGTTATGATAGTATAAAAATATATAAGCAAATATGATGGGAAAACATAGGTAAAGAAGATATAAATATAGCATATCAATTGTATTAATTGATAAACTACGTGGGGTTAATTAATTTATTAATTAATTGTATTAAATAAATTAAAGGAGAAAATATATTTAAATTTGAGAAAAAAGATAAACACTATTGTTGGCTAAAAAGTTTTTATAATTTGGCATGTGAAGAGTCTTAGTTGTAAGTGTTTCTTTATTAATAAAATTATTAATTTGTAATAATTAAGTGATTTACTTTTATAATAACATAATTAATTTAAATTAAAAAAATCTCAACAAAACCACAAAAAAAGAAAAATTGAAATTGAGGCTATAGAGAGGTGCCACATCACCTTCTCTATGCTTCTCCTTTATATATATATATTTGAATTTATATGCAAATCAAACACTGTTATTAATTTTAAATATAAATATTTTATCTTCTAATCAATTATCAAATGTAATTATTTATACAGAATTTAATACATGCATAACTCACCGAGTCAATGTCTCAAGGTCCATTGAACTATGAGAAATTATCTAGTAAAGTCATTGAATTTTCTTTTGTATCAATAAAATCACTTAAGTTTAGTGGCGTATGCAGGATTTTTGTAAGGGGTGTCACCTTTTAAAATGAAAAATAATTAAAAAAATAATGTGACATCATATTCTTTTGGAAAAAAAAGAGAGAATAATATATGAATAAAATACCATTCGGGCTCACTACTATACATTTTCTACAAATAAATATTTTAAAAAAATTATAAAAAAAACTCATGAGTTTTTTTATTTTATTTTAAAGTGTATTCAAAATAAATTTTTAAAATTAATAATATTAAACGTTTCATAAATTGTGTTTAATTAAGTTCTAGATTCAAACATGCAACCTATACCTTTGTGTCAAGGAGTATCACTGTGTATAATATATTCAATTTTTCTTCTTTGGCCCTTAATTATATATGTATATTTACTATTTTTTTCCGATGAAGATGTCACGTGACATCCCTTGAACTTACGTAGATCCGCCTCTGCTCAATTTAAGGTTTTTATCTACAAAAATCATTCAACTACATAAATTCCTAAAATAAATTTGTTATGATAAAATAAATTATTTTATATTCCACGTAAATATGGACCCACAACTAAACATAATTTAAAAGTTTCATCATAATTCTTCTTCTTTTGAATTTACCATTAAAATTATTTGACACGACGAATAAATTATTTATATGTTATATAAATTCGACTCTACATTTATATATCTTTTATATGTTAAATATTAGTGCTTAATATCAGTGTACATCTTCATAAATCATCAATGTCTGTTCTTTCATCAAAATATATCTGAATTTTAAATATTGTCCATTTCTTAGCTCGTATATAAAAGATGCAATTTCATATTCTGAAATGAAAATAACAAAATTTTGGCATCATGATTTTGATGTTGAACGTAATGTATACTTACTGGACTAAGATGTTTCACATCAAGGAAGATAACCCGCAAAATTTGTTCTACGGTGATCTTTTGCTCATCAAACTAAAAGAAAACGGTGGCAATGATTAGAATATTAACACATTAATAAATTATAAAAATATACAGATGTTGAGCTGAGTTTCTATTTATACCATACAAAATAATTTATTTGTTATGTTAGAATATTTAATGTTAAATTAAGAAGAAAAAGAATTACTATAATGATTTTTTTAAAATTATGTTTATTTGTGGGTTCATAATTATATGATATATAAAATAATTTATTATTCCATGTCAAATTTATTTTTATGATAAATGTAGTTGAGTGATTTTTTGAGATAAAAACCTTAAGTCAAGTGATTTTATTGATTAAAAACAAAATTCAATGGCTTTACTAGATAAATTCTCATAGTTTAATGATCTTTTGAGATATTAATTCATAACTCACCTATGAACTAGCTATCAAATGAAGTGTAACTTATTCATGTTTTAAATGTTATATAAATAATTTTATGTTGGATAAAAATATTATTTTGTTATGTATAAAATTCAACACATTTAATAGATGTTTGATTTGTAATTTAAGAATACGCATAACTAATATTATTATAAAGTAAAGTGATTGGAGTTTTTTATTGTCTGTTACTCCCCATGTCCAACAATACTTATTCATTATTAATTTTGCACATTTTAAAAAAATTATAAATAAAAAAATAATTTTATATCACCCTTTGAATATACTAAATATAATATTTTGAAAAGGATAATAAAAAAATGGCTATAATTAATAATAAAAATAAATTAAAAATTAATTATAAAATTATTCATTAATTTCATAGGGTGGAACTTTAATTGGTAAAAAATTGGATGTATAGTTAATGCACGTAAATAGATATTCCAGAATTCACATGTGCAGGATTTTATTTTTTTGTCACATGTGCATCATTGGAATAAGGAGTGCTATATACTGGTAATAGGCTTTATATTTAGTTAAAAAATGTTTTTGATTTCTGATTGCATTTTTACTCATATTAACCTAAAGACCAAAGATTAGACAGACTTTGAGCATCCACTTTTCCTACACTGTGGCTGCTAAAACTAAGAGAGAGAAAGCAGATCAAAAACAGAGTAGCTATCGGCCGCCATGGATGTAAATGTCGAGCTCCAGAATTTCATCCGAGTATGGTTTGCTGCTATTGGAGCTTTATGCTATTGCTATTACTGCGTAACCCGCATTCCTAGCGGCGTCCTAAGGCTTCTCTTTGTCCTTCCTATTGTCTATTTCTTTCTTATTCTCCCTCTCGATCTCTCTTCCTTCCATCTTGGTGCCCCCACAATTTTCTACCTCGTTTGGCTCGCTAATTTCAAGATCCTCCTCTTTTGTTTCGATCGAGGGCCTTTATCCTCTTACTCTTCTTTACCTCTTCTTCATTTCCTCTCCATCGCCCTTCTCCCGGTTAAACCCAAATACGTTATCAGAGACGGATTCAAAATTTCAACTCAGTCGGTGCAGAGTACCGAAAGAGTACCCGGTTTGTTTTGGGGGAAAATAATTTTTTTGGCAGCTATTATTAGGGTATACAATTACAGAGAACTTTTACATTCAAATGTAATTTTGGTTCTCTATTGCTTACACATTTATTTAGCAGTGGAGTTTATCCTTGCAATCACAGTTGTCCCAGTACGAGCTCTTCTAGGGCTAGAAATTGAGCCCCAATTCAACGAACCATACCTCGCCACCTCACTTCAAGACTTTTGGGGCCGTAGATGGAACTTAATGGTGCCGGGGATTTTACGCCCGGCGGTGTATTTCCCTGTCAGGGCTATTTTAACTAGTTCTTTAGGGAAGGAATTAGCCAGTTTACCAGCAATTTTCACTACATTTTTAGTTTCTGGGCTAATGCATGAATTGATCTATTATTACCTCTCCCGCGTGAGACCCACATGGGAAGTGACTTGGTTCTTCGTCTTACATGGGATTTGTGTATGCATTGAGGTTACTGTGAAGAAATTTTTTCATGGCGGCTGGCAGATGAATAGAGTGGTTTCCGGTGTCCTCACAGTGGCGTTTGTGGCTTGGACTGGTGATTGGCTATTTTTCCCACAGATTATTAGGAATGGGTTAGACCAGAAAGCCATTAACGAGTACTACGTTATGGTAGATTTGGTCAAAGATAGGTTGCTGCCAGTTTTGGGAATTTAGATTTTGTTGTTGCTTGGTAAGTACCCGTAATGGGATGGAGTTAGATCTACACTGTTGTAGAGTAATTCTTAAAATTTGGCATTATTTTAGGGCTGACATGCGATATGGTATCATGATATAATATCATAATATGAAATTGAAGTTTTGTTTGGACATGCGATATAAAATTTTTGTGTTGTATAATTTCTCATAAACATAAGAATCTCATAAGTTGTAAAACTATTAAAATAGTCCTAATTGTTTATTCAATTTTAAGAAATAAACAAAAAATTATAAAATCGCATAATAAGTTATTACAAAATTATTTGTTCTTTACTTAAGTAATTGTTTCATCTAACTTCAATTCATCAAACTTTAATTCAATAAAAAAATATTGAACATAACTTGTAGTGTACTAGTCTTTAATATAATCCTCTCATATAGTACGAATAATTTCATTACGTTGAACTTGCATTTCTCAATCATGTGACGGAGAAGATGAACCAACATTGTTACGTTGAGTTGTATTAAATACAAAACGGTAGAAGTAATAAATTAGGCGTTGGAGTAAATGAAGAGTATAAATTTATTACTCAACAATCGATTGGTGTGAGTTAAAGTGATTATATGTTGGTGAGAATAATCAAACACATATGCAGACTCTTAAACTTGTTCCTAAATTTCATTTGACACTCCAACTCAACCTTGTTCCATTTTAACCCTTCAAGTCCAATTTTTATGTTCCATTTTGGCACTTATAAGTGATGTGATAGAGTGTGTGCATCACACTTTTTCTAAGAAAGTGAATAGTGAAGACCAAAAAAATAGTAAAAGAGTGACAGAGTGTGTGCATCACACTTCAACTCTATTTTTTTAATGTATCATTTAACATAAAATACTAATTTTATGATTTCTTTATTTCTATATGTGTTATTCAACTGCAATTTTGCATTTTAAAAATCGGCGTTCATCCGTTAGTTATTGTAAAAAATTAAAATTGATGGATGACATTGATTTTTTTTTTAAAAAGTAACAATTTCTTTTTAAGAGTTTTCCTATATTTTTGCGTGAAAAAATAACCGATGAAAGTGCGTCGATTTTCTTTTGAAAATCAATGACAACCCAACGAAGTTTATCGAGTTTCAACATTTTTTTGTAGTGTTATTAATTAGCAATGAGCATGAGTTTTTTTTACTCGTATTTAGTTGATGAAAAATTTGAAAGCTGATATTTTCGTTAGTCCAAATAGACTAGATATGGAAAAAAAAAAGGTGGTGTTATTTAATTAAATTAATTGTTTAAAAAAGAAAACCAACACACTTTCGTCGATTATTTTTTCACACAATAATGTACAAAATTAAAAATGATGTTCATCCATTAATATTTTAAAATAAAATAAAATATGACGTTGATTTTTAAAATGAAAAAGTGGAAATGAAGAACATAAATAAAAATAAAGAAATCATAAATTTAGTATTTTGTGTTTAAATGATACTATAAAAATTAGAGTTGGAGGATTAAATGGAACAATGCTAAGTTAGCATGACAATGAAAAATGAGGACAAGTTAGAGGAATTGTGTATGTGTTTTTAGGCTTAAGACATCCACAGCCACTCAAAGTTGTCCGCATAATTCATTTGGACACCTCAACCTAACGTTATACCTATTGAACACTTCTACAAACTCGAATTTAACCATTTAAACACTTTTTGACAATCAGCTAAAAGTATAAAATGTGTGTACCCCACTCGCGATGAAGTGGCAGATTGACGAATCAATGATATACATGTGGCATTTTGAGCTAAAATAATAATTAAAAATTTATAAAGAAAAAAAAGAAAGGAAAAGGGCATGTCCGGCTGTCCTCCCACCGTCGACCTTGCAACCTTTTCTATTCAAAGTGCTTTTCTTCCATTCACTGTCTCTTAAGTTTTAATTCAACTAAAAATCAATCAAACTATGTTTATTAAAGAAAAAAAATGAAATAGTAAACTGTATATTCTTCTTTAATTTCTTTATTTTTTTCCTTTTCTCATCTCAGATTAAAGAAGAAATTTCAAGGAAATTCAACCATTAATGAACTGTTTGTGAAGAGATTTCCAGCTTTAAATTGAACCCTTCTTTAATTTCTTCATTTATATCCCTTTTCAACTTTTCTCTTCCATAGTTAATTTTGATTTTGGTTTTTTTTTTTCCAGAAGAAATTACTCATTTTTATTCCTTTTTATCTTGTTTATGTTTTGGATGGTGAAGAAGAAAATTTTAATTTTTGTAAAGGTAGTAGTGCTTTCCACATGAATATGATAGTGGTGAGGGAGAATGTGAAGTGGCTGAATATAAGAAGGAAAGAGAAGGGTGGATAGTGGTGGTATTAACGGCAGCGGGCGCAGTGGAAATGGTTGTGGTGGTGCCGGCAGACGCGGTGGAAATGGGTTATGGTGAAAGAAGAAAGAAGAAGAAAGAGAAAAAAAAATATAGCTAAAAATTGTTGGTCACACGTTGAATATGTGTGAAATGCACTTTTCATGCCATGTCAGCTAAAAGTGTTTAATATGTACTTATTTTGAATATCTTAAGGGGTCGTTTGGTACAAAGATGCATAATGCAGGGATTACTAATGCATGAATTGGTAATGCAGGGTTTAGTAATGCAGGAATTAGTTTTTCTCAAGTGTTTGGTTCATGTTTCCCATTTTATCTTATGTTTGATTTAAAATTCTAGAAAAAGTTTTTTTTCTATTATACCCTTGAGTTATTATCAGATTTTATATTTCATTTAATATGTCAAATTAAATACTAAAATATATTTAAAAAATTATTATTAAATTTTGAGGTATGATATGCCACCATAGAAATCCTTGATAGCATGGTATATTAACCTTAAACTTAACATAGATTTAAGGATACTTAAATTGTTCAAATACACAAAGCTTTTTTTAAAAAAAAAATAGTTCAAGTGGTCAATCGACGAACTACATTTTAAAAAAAAACTAAAAAAACCAACTCAATATAACAAATCAAACATGAAAAAAAAATATTAATTTGTGAAATCATCAAACTACATGGAACAAATTTGGAGAATTTAAAAGAATATTTATAAATATTCTCATATAAATAAAAAAGAGCATTAAATTACAAAAAAAAAAATTAGGAAAAAAGATTTGGGGATAGTTTTAGTCATTTAGGGGTCTTTATCCAAGGATTGTTAAACCTTAGATTAGTTATCCTTCCCTTTTCTAGGGATAAAATAAGACTTTGTATGAGGTATAACTAATCCATTGATTAGGTTAAATAAAGTAACCAAACAATGTTTTTGTTGGACTAAATTTTAATACATGAACTATTTTGATTAATACCTCCTACCAAACGGGTCCTAAGTGTTCAATAGGTACATCTCATAGTTAAGGTGTCCAAGTGAATTATGTGGATAACTTTGAGTTGCTGGTGATGACTTAAGAAGTGCCAAAATGGAACATAAAAATTGGAGTTGAAGGGTTAAAATGGAACAAGGTTGAGTTGGAGTGTCAAAATGAAATTTAGGGACAAGTTTAAGGGTCTACATATGTGTTTTAAAAAGTAATGGTGTGATTATAAATTTTATTTACATATGAAATAAATGGTTAGTAGATATAAATGTGGGGTTGTTTTAACAAAATATAAACTTGCGGATCATTTTTTGTGCTGAAAATATCTCAAATCATGATATAGAATTCCCACATCATGATTTTTGGAGAATATGGAATCACATCTCATGATATGGAATCAACGTAAAATTGCATGTCCAAACGTTGATTTCATCTCACAATTCCATATCGTAATATGGTATCGCATGGCCAAACACCTACTTAGTTTGGTGATTAAGCAAATTTTAATTACGTGATTAGTGTTTTTGCGGGTCATGTGAATCGGATCGTGAGTTGCACATGTGTTAAAAAGGGGTTAAGTTTGACAAAAAGAGAAAAGGATTGAAAACACTTTCAAAATTGGTGTGAATTATTATTTTTTAGTTTTATTTTCAAACTATTGACATACTTTAAAATACCCATCTACTTGATTAACTAAACTTGAATATAACTCTGATTTTTTCACATGGGTGAAATATATTCCTAGGATTCGTTTGGTGTGACAGATAAAGAAAAATAATTCTGGAATAAGTTTTTAGTACTCCTCAATTCTTTGGCTAGTTACAAAGTGTGGGATAACTTATCCCAAAATTAATAATTATGACTGAGATAAGGTATCCCTATTTATGGAGGGAATACTAATCTCGAGATAAACATGTAAAATAACAAAAGTATCCTCTTTTATAAACAAATAACGTTTCTTAGAAATTATGTCATGCATATTTGACAAACCAATACAAAATAATCTCAATATAACTTATTTCATCATAACTTGTCTTCAAACCAAAAGACCTCTAAATTCTCATTAAGTTCGGTAGTGTTTTCAACCCTTCTCTTGGATTTTATTAAGAGTTACATATTCCTACAAGAGTTTGAAACCACTTGTTATGCCATGTGGCAGATCACATGTATATTTTAAGTTGAGTCAATCAAGTAAATGGTATTTTTAAGACTGTCAATAATTCGGGATGAATCTAATAATTCACGCTAAGTTCAACGGTGTATTTAATACTTCTCTCTTGATAAAAACAATTTACTCTTACCTATCATTTTTAAGGCTTAGGACCAAAACGATACACTTCTCATAGATATCAGAGATTATTTTTAATCTAAGGAGTAGATATCTTAAGACCAAAATAATTCATCCTTTGTACATTAAGGACTATTTTCACCATGTTCTTATTTATATGGGCGATGTACATATGATTGAGAAAGACAAAAACATGATGAAAGTTCTACTTGTAATCTTTTACAAACTTGTTATTAGTTTATGTTATCATATACATGATTTTCATTTTTACACCTAAAAAATCTTCATTTTTATACCTACAAAATCTGAAAAGATCAAAAAAATAAATGAAAAAATTGAAGTGCCCATAAAAGATAGATCATTTTCTCAAGAATGTGAAGGTTTTTTGAGAAATAAGCATGAACAATTGTTGGAACAAAGTTAATTTTCAGATTAAATTTATAATAAGGAGGTTTTTTGAGAAATAAGCATGAACAGTTGTTAGAACAAGTTAATTTTCAGATTAAATTTATTATAAGGAGTCTTTTTGAACATGAGCAATTGTTAGGACAAGTTAATTTTCAAACTAAATTTATAATAAGGATTTCAAGGGACTAAAAGCAAAAGACAGCTTAAAATTAACTGATGTTATAATAAAAGTTAAATTCAATAAACAAAACTTTCAGACTTGAATTGTAGGGGGTCACTCAAAGAAGAGAACCCCTCCAAAAATGAGCGTATGCCACTATGGTCAGAGCGCACACGGTATTCTTTAGTAAAAGGCGAAAGAATAGTTCGCTTTGTGCTCACTGCGTGGGTGCGTGAGTTTTGCACTGCCCTTGTACTGACATTTTATATTTTTAACAGAAGTCACGGTTTACTCTCCCCTTAACGATGTGGGAATCGCCTGACACTTTTCCTCAGCCGTCTTATTAACTTTGTTGGCATCTAAGTGTAGGCTCTTCACCATTGGAAAAATGATACAGAAAGCTAGCTGATTTTATTTTAATTAATCACATAGAGTGTCTCTACTAATATCTTGAGTGTTTAAATGAAATTTATCGTCAAATTTTGGACTGTCAATGTAAACCACATTGTATAAACAGACAAGTTAAAATCTTTTTTGTTCTTTGCCTGATTGAGAAGTTGGACAAAATTTACAATTTAATTAGAAGGGATAGGATAATGATAAATCCATCCTGGACACACGTGTCACCACTCGAATGGGACTTCAAATCTCTAGAAATATATCCAGTTTCCAACGTGTCATGTTCAAATCCATGCAAAAAAAGATTCAAACAAAACCATAACATATTCACAATCACATCATTTTCTGAACCACAACTAATTTCCTAGTCTGAAACAGAGCCCAATAATGGCGTCTATGGCAACTCTTACTGCAGTGCAGCCCACCAGTAGTGTCAAGGGCCTAGCCGGAAGCTCCATTGCTGGAACTAAACTAAATGTTAGATCATCTCGCCTCAATTTGAAGCAATCTAAATCCAGGTAAGGTACTGGATGGCCAATGTCTCGGATTTTAGTAGTCTCTTTGATCAAGCTTTCAATATCTGCTTATTAATTTTAGAAAGTTCTTTTAGAGATTAGCAATTTGTGTTTGACGAATCAACTTGCAAAGCAATTTGTCAATATTAGAGCAACAATAGTATTTAACAAAGGTTTCAAAAGACTTTTGGGGGAAAAAACTATTTTTTTGTTCTGAAAAATAACTTCTACTACTCAAAAAGTATTTATTTTTTTCTAAAAGTTTGGTCAAATAACTCAATTCTCTGACAAAAGCACATTTTTTACAAACTATGCACATGTATATAAAAAAAGAAGCACACATATAATAAAATAACACTCATTTTTGAAGCCACAGACTCTAAATTATGAATTCGCCTATGTTTATGAACAGGGTAGTTTTTTGTCTGTCAAACACGCACTTAATTAGTTTGGTTAGTGGTAAAGTCTAAAGATTGAATTAGTTTTTTTTAATAACCGTGGTGTCCATCCAGCTTATGTGCACCTCTATTTATTCCATCGAGCACCTGTTGGCTGTTACCTCCCATCAGCATGGTTTATATGAGGGTGTTAAGAAATGTTATTATATTCATCTGAGCTTTCGAAGATAGAAATTAAAGATGAGTTATGGGCTTGTAAGAATTATTTTTGTTGCTTCGACTGATTATGATAAACTTGTGTAGGGCTGGTGCTGTGGTTGCAAAATATGGTGACAAGAGTGTATACTTTGACTTGGAGGATTTGGGCAACACAACTGGTCAGTGGGACTTGTATGGATCAGATGCACCTTCACCCTACAACTCCCTTCAGGTATTATTTGTCTCTCTCCCCTTAGAAAGCATCCCACATTTCTTTATTGCAAAAATGCTTCATATTAACTTGCCATGCCAGAATGGTAGCCTTGAATTAACTGGTAAAGTAGTTGTCATGTGACCAGGAGGTCACGGGTTCAACAGTAGACCCTAGTGGTCCAGCCCTTCCTCAAACTCCGCGCAAAGCGTTAGTGCACCGAGCTCCCCATTTTTTCGTCTACTTGCCATGCCTGTGTTAAATAGTTGTATTTGTGTATGTTGGCTCCTCATTTACTAGCTAGTTGCAGTATCGATTATTCGCCAGAACATTACGGAGTTATAACTGTCTTTTTCCTATTATTTTGTATTTGGTAGAGCAAGTTCTTTGAGACATTTGCTGCTCCTTTCACAAAGAGAGGTCTGTTGCTCAAGTTCTTGATATTGGGAGGTGGCTCAACTCTTGCTTACTTCAGTTCAACTGCATCAGGGGATATCCTACCAATCAAGAAAGGCCCCCAACTTCCACCAAAGCTCGGTCCACGTGGCAAGATCTAATTGCTTCCCAATCCAAAATTTCTTTACCTTAATTTTGTAATTGATGTATCATCTATATAACAGCCTGTAAGTGTACATTGAAGCTTACCTCAGACCTCTGTTACAACAAGATAAATCTTCTGGAAAGTTTGAAGCATTGCTTTCTAAGTTTGTAGCTTATGATATTTTATCATCTTCGCTCGGATGTATTCTTGCTGGTTCATCATGCCTTTGTGATATTGTAAACAATACTCTGGAAAAGAACATGAAAGGTAGACTGATAAAGGAATAGTAGTGTTTAACTGTATGGACACCAAATCTCTCTTACATACTTCCTTTCCAATAAATCTAAAGACCAAAGGCCATACAAACTAACATATATAGTACTATTTGCAAAAAATAAAAAATTCACTTTGTTTTTTCAACAAGGTGACATCTTGTACACAGTAAATCACTTCAAAAGAAGTGCCACAGACCAAATAGGTCTACTAAATTTTCCCTACTTACAAAAGGAATGGCTTAGTTGAATCCTAAATGGGTGAGATCCATCTCAATATGTACATTTGAGGACGAGCTTTCAGACTTCCGTGAATTCTGATGGCAGTCCTCGTGAGGTAAACTAAAATTCTGCAGTGCCAATCAATTAGTGACGTGCAGTTGGACTTCTACACATACCTAAGTTCTCTAGGTAAGAAAACCTCTTGTTGGTGACTATGCTAGAAGGGTTGCATTTAATCTTCGCGTTAATATCTTTATAAGTTGGGTCCTCCTTCAAATATTTCTTTGTGTTGTTGTCTTCTTGATCAGGTGTCCAACCGATGAAGTCTAAAAGTGTCAATGAAGTTCCATTCTCAGCAGAGTTAAGCTTTCCTACTTCTTCTTTATCTGATAATGGTCTCTTTACTTCTCCATTGGAAGGATTTTGGGCAATAGCATCTGCTTGGAGAACATCTTCAATTCGTGACATGATTGTGAATGCCCTGCTTTCTATTATTCTTGAATAGCTTTCTAAAATAGCTTGCCCCACATCCTGCAAAATCAAGTAAAATCTTGTTCCATTAATTCATGTCATATTCTCTAGAAGTTGAATCACCCAATAGAAGCAAAGAAAACAAGTCTATATTCTCTAGAATATGAAATTGGAAGTAAATCAAAATGTGCATGCTTCGTACTTTGTTGTATTGGATTTTACTAATGTCTAGTTTTGACTGAGGAATTCCAGGGAACCGCTGCTTAAGAATTAACAAGATGACTTCTGCTCTTTCTTCAAACATTTCTCTCTTCTCAAAGCTAATAGTTGAACCCCAGGATGATTTCCCATCTTTAGCATTCATCTTTCTTTTCCAGATAACTACAGAAGCCTCAATCCTGTCCTTGAGGTCTAAAATTTTATGTTCTGAAGACATGTCCATAGTTGTGAAGAAGTAATCTGGATCAAAGTATTCATCGGTGATGCTTTTGTAGATCGAATCTCCTAGGCTTGCTCTCCCATTCTAAACATAGTAAAAGGGAAATGTTAACACACAAGATCACAAGCTTGAAGTAAGTTAAAAGTGAGATTCATGATTTTTTAGACCTTAGGTAGGGATTCTATATAACTTTCTGGGATCTCCATTTCTGACAAGACTTGAGCATTTATCGCCATGGACGCTTTATGAACTTGGATTACTGAATCCTTCTGAAATTGCAGCCATTTCCTCATTGGATCAGACAAGCCGTTAGGAGGAACCTTAGGAGTAGGTATCCACCATTTGTCATCTTTCCTGCTGTTTGTTTCTTCCTGTGATTCATCATCTTTTGATACATACGAGAACTCACTTTGATCGTTAAGGCCATCTAAGCAATCCTGTTGGTCATTAATCCAGGCATAAACACCAATCAGGACAATTGAGATCACTTAGGAAAACAAAAACAAAAAAAACTTCATATCTCTTACAATAAGCATTGCATCTAGCTTCCGTAGAGCTGGAATGTTCATTTGAAGATCAGATCGCTGCTTTGTTACCATAACCTGATAGAGAAATTAAATGAACGTATGATCGATCACTCTTGTTGTACGGTAGATATATGAAATATGCAACAAAGAGTTTGAAGGAGAGAGAGGTAGAGGTACCTCCATGTTTGTTCCAGTTTTTGATACTTGTCTACAAGGAACAAATTCAACAATGTGATCTGTGACAGATAAAAGCCAACCAATTTCTTTTCTCCATTTTGCTTTTCTCTCAGCTGGCATTGGCTCTAATCTTTTCCTCTCTCCGAAAACAGAAGCTGCACATATCATACATTGATAAGAAAAGTTGACTTCTCCGATTAGTAACAGATCAACAAATTTTAGTTATACACTGATGATTACCTGCTAGATTTGTGATTGCATTTGACAAAGCCAGCGCAGACGAGACACCCTTTCCTCCACCAGACATATCCTCACCAAGGAGCAACTTTGAAAACTTTTCCTTCATCAACTCCATATCTAAATAGGACCAAAAGAGTCAGTGTTTCAGCAATGTGGTAAATGCCAGTGGCGGAGCCAGGGATTCACAAAAAAAAAAACATCCTATGTTGGGGATTCATCAACTTACATATACGCGGAAAAAATCATTTTTGCCCTATTAATATACATATTACAATATAATTTGAACCCCTTGTGCCCCTCTGCTTCTGCCCATGAATGCATAAAACATGCAAACCACATCTTTTGACTACAATATATCAAGATCCTATATATCAATTCATTTACTAAGTACTTTTCACCCAAAAGATGAAAATTTTCTGAATAATTACCCCTAAAGGAGAAATGGAACATTTTGTTAGCTTTGGCCAGATAACCTTAGTTAATGCTTTAGACATGTTCAATCATTTAAGACCCTCAAGCATAGCACAATTTTTCTTTTCAAAAGTAAAGCATTAAAGGTGACAGCAATGGTGGAGCTAGGGTCCCCTCTTTTATCGAAAATTAGACTCTATACATAATTAGTTTTTATGTATATATATATTAGATGTTGAATCCGTTTGGCTTCTTCATATATGTATTTCTTTGTATTTTGAATACCCTTAGTGAAAATCTTGACATTGTCACACGGTGACAGAAAGGAAATATTGAAAATATAGATCTTTATGAAAATTAGTTATTATCAGAGACAACAGGGCTTTAACAATTGACTAAAGTTTTGTGTTTCATGGAGAATGAACAAAATCAAGAATCCATCCACACACACACACAATTTTTTTTGTGAATTTTCTAAAAAAGGGAAGAAGATGACTTACCTGAACGAGGGCTAGTGACCGTTGAATCGTTGGCCAAACGTGACTTGCATCCAGCCATTGAATTATTGTTCGTTTCAAGAATCATGTTTCACACATTCTATAAAAATGTGTCTTAGAAAATGGAACTTATGACAAGAAAGTTAATGAAATGGGGGTTTGTTTGTGAGGTGAAAAAGAATGAAAATTTGTGAAGAAAAAGGTTGTGTTTCTGCAGGTACAGAGAGAAAGGGATAGAAGCAAAGTGTTTTGTGATGGATAATTGTGGGGAGGATGTTTTGGTGTTTAATTCTTAGTTTAAGTGAATGGTTGGAAGAACGTGGTGTGCATGTTTGTTTTGAAGAATGATAGAAACAGGATGTAATGTCACTGGCCTCTTGCTTTGACTAATTATACAAATGCAATTATGTGTTTGTGTAATTGCGTTTGTACATTTGTTTGCTTGCTATTAGCTGGTTGTTATAAGACAATGAATAAGTCTGTTTTGCTTTTAAAGTCAGGCCACCCAACTTAATTAAAAGGTGATCAAGATAAGTTCAAATCAAACGTGTGCAAAAATTCCTCCTAAAATGTTCCTTAGTCGCTAGGAGGAGACTTAAGTAAAAATGATTTTATTTATTTATGTTTGCTTAGTGAACGCAAAGTATCACTCCAGGGTGGTAGGGATGGGGACATGGGGTTATGGTGTTGAAGGGTGAAAAGGAAACGATCCGTGTGAATTGTCACTTATAAAATTTATTTTTCTTAGAAGAAATTATTTTATTCATATTAAGGAATTAGTTTTCTTAGCCAACCAAATACGAGAAAATTGGAACGAATCATCTAATGCTATGGAGGTTATTTCTTTATTTTCTAGGCTATGATATCCGGTAATCGTACTCAGAACTTTTGCTATAATGTGAATTACTTATCCCATTCAGTCATGATTTCTCTATTTACTTGTTAATCAATTAATTATGTGTGATCCTAAACTAGTTGAGATTGATTATGATTTATGACTTCTAATGAGGATCATCTATTTTCATTAAGAGGATTCGTACTCACATAAGCATGTTTTGTGGTTGACTATATAAAGATTAAAATTATTATAAACTTGATAAATTACATAGAAAAAAGAAGAGTTATTTATCATTAAATTTACGCGGTTCAGTTGGTAAGTTGTATCTCTCAAGGTGGCCTGAGGAATATTTCATTTTTACAAGGTAGAGGTAAATGTCATGGCCTGGCCGTTACCCCTTTGCTACTGCGACTTCTTTCATTTAACAATTTTACAAGACTATTGAGCTTCTAGATGCCTTACAATGAAGAAGCCCCGGTCCCTTCTTCAACCCAGTTCGGTGCACTCAACACCAACTAGCAAGATTGTGTGCATTTCTAACATCAAATGTAGAAATTATTTACTCGCACCATGAGGGAAATATAGACATTTTTCACTGAAAATCATTTGAAAAAAACAAGTGTCATGAGAGGTAATTAGTGAATAACTCAAATCACACTGTAGCCTAAAGTTAGTTCAGTTCACCTACAACTCCAAAAACACACATCGCTGTAACTTCATTTTCTGGAAAACAAGAAAACTTACAAGAATAAAGGAGACGAGATCAGAGAGAAATTTCTTTTATCATGAGAATAATTTCCAATACTACTTTGTATTCAATGTAGATCCCTTCCGCGCAATATGCCAGACTGTTTTTCTTTTCATTGTTTCAGTAACCAAGAAACGCAAGACTTCAGAGGCAGACATCTGAATTCATACTACAAGCTGAACTAATCATCTATGCAAACATTTAACTGGTAAGATCACCATACTAAGACCCAAATCAGGTTAAATTAGAATAAAAGAACGGGCACATTGGGTGTCATTATTCATACAGCAACAGATTTGAAATAAGCAAGTTGAACAACCTCAAGGTAACACTAAAATGAATGGAATCATTTCATACAGCAACAGATTCAAAATGAGCAATTTGAACAACCACAAGGTAACATAAAAACTAGACAGGCAGATCAGATCCAATAAGTTATGGAAGTCTCAAGATCCCTTCTTTATAAAAATGCCAAGTTGGAATACATACTTTGAAAATTTTAAGCACATTAATCTTTCAAAGGGCAATAAAACCTAAAGATAGAAGGTCCCAAAATTTTACTTGCTCTAAATCTTGAAATATCAAAATGAAGCTACCACTAATAGCCTCTCAAGTAACTGTCTAAAGGCCTCAAGCAGAAGCTACTCCCTTCTTCCTTGGAGCTGCTTCAGTACCTGGAAGAACAAGAGTTTAAAGTTTATTATTTATCTCATACTAGTTAGTACCAGATATTCTTGATCATCAATTGGCAATGTCTAAACAAACATAGTCAAGCTAAACAAAGGAACAATCACACTGAATTATAGATGTGCATCTTTCAAGCTCAACTAAATGCATACTCAACCTAAAACACCAATAAGCATTGGCTAAGTATGACATAAAACAATTTTCGGGAAAAATATTGTGTGAAAACCGTTTTATCTTGAAAATTAACTTACTAGAACTATTTTAAGCATTTGGTTTTGGTTTCTTGGAACTAATTATAGACACTTGGGGTTGTTTGATAGCTGGTTTGGAGGTTAGTTATACATATATTAAATCTTGCATAAGTAATAGTACGTTTGGTAACTGGTTAGTAGGTAAGGTTTTCATGTTTAAAACTAATATGATGTTTAGTTTCAAATTTATAAATCCACATAACAAATATATGCACAAGTTATGAAGGAATCTATGTATTATATTATGGAAGATAGAAGGCGTAATAAGTAATACATAACTAAATACCTATATAAAATAACACATAAATTCCTTCATAACTCTAACCAACTACCCAACCTCCCCTTAGTTTTCTATAGAACAAGGATGCAATATGCAACATCATTCAAGGTAAAAGGGTAGTCACAGCATGTACTATAATGCAGGGTACCTCACTCATACAAAGTGGAAGACAATGTACAACAATAGCATTTATTACTCTCATCAATCCCTGGTTATGTGACACTCTTTTCTTTCTATAAAGGAAACAAATTGACAACTTTCTATCTTTAAACTTCTTAAACTTGGTGCTCAATTAAACAACTTAACATAAATATTGGTCTAGGCAAGTATATGGATATCTGTAAAGTAAAATGACTTTTGTCTATAACTAGAGGAAGTAAGCTCTCATTTTAGAAGTAAACAATCACTGAAAAATGATTACATAAATCCTATAAACAATTTTCACCATACCAAAGGCACACTCAATCCTAAATAAAATGTAAATTAGCAAATCTTAAAATGCAGAAACAAAAGAACTTCCAAAAATAAAGATAAGCTATAATATGTATACCTTCTCTGAAATTGGTCTTGAACCTGCGAGGGACGTTACGAAGATACCTCATGCGGCCAGTTCCAGTTGTCTTTCTGCGAATAGCCTTCACACTCCAGTTGTCTGTAAATCATTCATTCAGAAGAGCATGTAAAAAAAGAGAGTACAACTCCTATCAGAGGATTGATATTCTGATATAATGTATAATATCAAAAGTGAAAGGATTATAAGTATTACATGTCCTTTTACGGGCAGCAGGGTAAGCACAAGCAGAGCAACGGCTCTTCTGGAGATGGAAGCTCCGTCTTCCACACCTCACACATAGTGTGTGGGTCTTGTTCCTCCTCTTACCGAAGCTTCCTGTTCCCTTACCCTATATAGTAAAATCCACACATTCACTTATAGATCACCTTTTGCAAACTTACAAAAACATATGCACCACTTTTCAATAATAAGAACCACTTTTTGATATGTGCAGGTCATTCTTCAATGTTCAGTGTAGTTCTTTTCAATTTTAATTTTCGAACCATTTCGTGATTTGTGATTTGTCCCAATTCGCTGAGGAAAACGAAAACGTATACGTTAACAGGAAAGATGATGAAAGGGTTAGCTTCACTTACCATTACGCTACAGTTGCAGAAACCCTAGCGACCTCCTCCTGAGCTTTCTCAACTGAGAACTGCGGCGATCTAGGCAGTGCTTATAGTTTGGTAGTGAAGGAAGAAGGCTTTTAGGGTTGTGCCTGCAGTGATAATGGGCTTAAATTGGGCCCAAAGTAATTGGACTAAATCAATATATTCAACCTTTTCGGTAGAATTAGCATTCACTGGCAACATTTTGGTCTTGCCTTTGAAAAATAGCCTCTTTGTGTGGGATTTTAAATTTCATTCTGGCTTAATCACCACTCTGGTTCTTTTTTCGGTATACCTGTACCTCTTTAAACCCACCCCTACTATAGTCAACCACTTACATCTCAAAGTTAGGGAGTGAGATTTTAGGTTTCATTAGGGTAGATCGAAGACCAATTCAATTTCGATTAAATTTTTTTTTTTTTATCACGATTATGAGGTCTTCCATTCTCAATTAAAGAAAAGAATTTATCATAACTATAAATGATACATCTCATCTATATCCTCTTCACATGTCTAAACCATCTCAATTTTGCTTCCCTCGTCTTGTACTCAACAGAAGTCACTCCCATCTTGGCATGGTATGATTTTGTTTCTAATCATATCCCTCTTGTCACACATTCATTTGAACATCCTTATCTCTATTAGCTTCATCTTCTAAATGTGGATGTTTTTGACCGGTTAACACTTTGCCTCATACAACACTTTGTAGAACTTACATTTTAAACTTACACATTCTTACCACATGGTACCCCAAAGACGAGCCACCATTTCATACACCCCGCTCCAATGACGTGTGACATCTTTATCAATCTCTCTGTCTTTTTGAATTATGAACCTATGATACTTAAAACTTCCTCTCTTGTGTATGGCAAAGTTCAACATACTTTGAAAAAGTTTGTGCACATGTTCATAAGCGTTCTTACGTAACCAAGTTAATTAATCATTTAAAATATGTCTCCTCCTTTGATTATGCACATCATCATCAATTGAACAATGCATGAAATTTTACAACTTATGAAGATTAAAATGTATAACTAAAGGATGTGATATACTTCTTTTAAGTCGATAAACTTATTTACGTAATAATAAGTACTAAAGAAAACATAATTACCTCCCTCAAGAGAGAAAAGGAAAAAAAAGAAAGAACATACGGAGCACAACTAAGCGCGGGAAAGACAACTGCTGCAAACACCGGCACACTTTTATGAAGTTGTGCGAGAAACAGAAGAAAGAAGAAAACCCTAGTCCCTTTGAACTTCAATTTTGTTTTCAGAGATGGAAGAGAGAAGGGAATTTCCGGCATTTCCGTACGAACCCTATTCCATTCAGCTTGATTTCATGAACGCCCTTTACCAATCCCTCAATAAAGGCGGCGTTGCCATGCTCGAAAGCCCCACTGGTATATATCTTCACCACTTTCTTATAGAAATGTAAAAAACTATGGTTATATATAACTCACATTGATGCTAATTTAGAA